TCGTGGAGGTCCGGCTCCGCATGAAGGATATTGTCCGTCATATGGTGAGTCGTTGCACAGGGACGCGGATACCAGGGAGCGACGGTTACTGACTCGAGTATAGTTTTATGCCGCTCACATCCGGCAGAACGAGTTCCGCGTCGCCTCTGAACCTCCTCGTATTCCTGCTGAGTCCGCCTGGATGTTCCACGTCCTCCTCGTTCTTCTACATGCCGTGGGTTTTGAAGGTGATAGCGTGACGGTGGCCGTAGGCGATCTATCCATTAACAAAGCTCCGTCGGAGGGGCGCCTGGCTCATGCGCAGGCGTCGTTCTTCCTTGGTGGCGCACTGCAGACGTATCTCGACAGCATGAAGGAGGGGAAGGCCGTGATGCTGGACTATCCGGAGTACGACGAGAACGGGTGGGTCTCCAAGAACTTTGCCTATCGTTCCCGCCCGTCGGACTTCCTTTGCATCGCGGTGGACGATTCAACCGCCAATGTATTTCGTCTTAACAGCGTTATCGCGGACTGGCGGCAGAGGGGAGCCTCAGCAAACAACGGGCATGCCGCCGAGATCGTTGCGGATAATGCGGCCGCACAGGGTGTAGGAAATGAAGGCATGGATGTCGCAGACGCGGCTACTGGTGTGGGTATCACTAGTGCGGTCAAGTCCGTGCGTCGTGCGCTGGCCAAGAGGTCGCCGACCCGTCGTAGCTTGCGCGTTCTTGCCGAGAAAATAGAGGAGGACGCCTCGAAGGACGCCGTGGCCGCAGCTCGTTTCTTCATCAACGAAGAGGAGAGGGCAAGGAGTGAAGCGTCGTATGGCTCCCTCCCTGAGCTGCAGTCTGTTTCAGATAGCGATTAAATAGCCTGTTTTTCCCGAATATATGGTGCTTTATGGGTATCATTGGCATCGCGCGTGCGGGCTGAAGATGTTGGACGCAGAGGGCAACGACGAGCGGGAGGGTGCAGGACATCTTCACCGTCGCAATCTGTTCCCCCCTGGCAATTTGATTCCATGATCAAAGATTCCTCCGCCATTTCCACATAAAGGGGCACTTGATTTTCCCGCTTCCGATTATGGCCTCCCGTGTTTCCATCTCCGAGTACCGCCCTCTCCTCCTGAGACTGCTCCTCACCGCTGAGGAATTGTTAGACCATAGTTGGGTCCCCAGTGCACCGCTGGCCGAATTTTTCCGATTGCGCGTCCGTCCTTGCGTCTATATTCTCTAATACTGCGTCACCGGTGGACACGCCCTTTCTCTGCCGCGACCGCCGTTGCGTCGTCTGGAAAGAGAAGAGATAGGTTTCTACGTCATCTTGTGCTTGGGCACCATCGCATGTTCTTTAATATTTCCGCGGATGTTTTTGTTATTGATTTCAATTGTATTGCATGGGCATAATTTGTTTCTTTTTGCAGAGACTGCTGGGTCGAGTCCGCTTCTGGGCCATGAACCGCATTCGGTCCGCTGCCAGTACCGCGGGGTCAATTCGCCACGACGTCGAGTTTTACTCGGTTCCCAGTGAAGCCTGCAACATGTTTTCCTTGATTCTTCAAATTGCTGACGTCGTCCTGACCGATCCCGAAGACCTCTTTACACTTTCCATCACTCGCCCCACCATTGTCGATTTCTGGCTTACCGCGCACACGTTTGGCCACGCGAGCGGGCTCCCTTCGGAATACCCCGAATTCGATGGTGACGGGGTCATTCTTCGTCAATCGGCCGACTCGTTTCCAGACATCTGATTTCATATCTTCTTAGGTCCGCTAGCATGGTGTGTCACATAATATCTTCGTCCCGCCTGCGCAACTGACAATTGTGTCACATGGGCATCATTTTTCGGCCGGATGGGGAGGGCTTCTTTAGTGATTTGATGGCAGGTTCCCGAATAGGATAGTTAGTTAGTTGGGCTGATCGCATCTTTGGTGCGTGTCGTGGTATAAAAACGAATGGTATCCTGTCTCGTCAGGGAAACCCTTGAATCCCGGCCGCCCGAGCGTTCGTCCGGCTATAACGTGTTCACATGGCCCAACTTTCTGTCATGCGACGGCTCGGCCTCTGCGACGAGTTCCTGGGACTCAATTTTCCAACTCCCGGCCAATTGGCAGACTTCGTGCATCATCCGTTCATGGCCAAGCTGTCGCGCGAGTTGCTGGAACCTCTGCATCGTTTGTACGGACAGATAAACGCGGAGTTTTCATGGTCTAGGGACGCCAAAATGCCTGTGGAACGGGAATTGCTCCGAGTGCTCGTGCGGGATTATTTAGACTTGGCGGTATGTGGTGGCGCATGGGTGAAGGAAACGTTCACAGCGTGCTAATCAAATTCTATCCCCGGTTTTTAGTCGCATTTGGCGGATTTCATCATTCGGTACAAAGAACTGGCATCGCTCCGCCGTGTTCCAGTGCCTCCTGTCCCATGGATTCTTTGTGTTATGCGTGCAGAGTCGGTCTACGGTTTCGTGGGGGACGACCTCTGGATTACGTGGGATATTTTGCGCGGAAAGATGACAGCGTTGTACCAGTATTCCACCAGTTTGAGAAATCATGCGGTGAACCACTTGACGCGTGATGGTGATTCGGGGAAGGGTGGTAGCGTAGCCGAACCAATTGGCGCCGCTGTCCCAGAAAGGGAGGAGGGCGACTTGTTCTGCTTTAAATAGCCCCGCCTCGTCGTAGTTATTCCCTCAGAATACCGCTTGTCATGGCTTTCAGTCCACGCTATCCGTCCCAGCCCATCGCGCCGGTCTCCGGCAACGTATGCACTATTCGTTCCGTCGCAGAGTGCGTTCGCATTCCGGCCATTCTTCTGTCGGAGCTAAACCTGGCGTGTTCCTTCCGCAAGGACCCGTATGAGTATATCTCCTCCAAGCTCGCGCACATCGGTTATGTGCAAGACATCCTTCGCCCATACGCAGAAATAATCTTCGCCTGTATCCTGACCACGGTCCTTTCTGTCGACCAGTTGCCCCTTGGCCGCCACGAGGAAATCATGAGCCATGTGACCGAGTATATGGCGCAGGCGGTACGTGTTTTTGCAGTGGTCCGTTCACGGTACATGGTTACTGAACCAGCGTGCCCAGGCACTTCTTCACAGCATAGCCCTCGAGTATGCGTGCATCAACAAGGTCCCGCCGTACCTCCATCCATCCGTGTCGTGGTCGTTGACCCTGGCCGAGACGTTCGATATTTTGCTCGGGCGGCCCCATTATGGTCCCGAGTCAGACGCGCGCGAAGTGCTCCTCAGCCGTATCCGTTCTGCCAGCGCTTTCGCAAACGACCAGCGTAAACCCAAGGATCCCATTGACGTTTTTATTGATGTCAAGTATGCCTCCCTTCCTCGCATTCCGTCGTGGAATCGTGGCCGCATCATGGAGTTGCTCATTCAGGAGAGAACCGATATTTGGGCAGCGGAAAAGGCGACTCTTCAGGAGGAGATGGATCTGAGCGGGAACTTGGATACCACAATGTACAAGTCGTCGCAACAGCTGGCCGAGGGTTTCACACCCAATCCTAGTGGAGAGCGGAATGCGTAGTAGTGTTGTCATTTCGTTTAGTGCAGCTGGGTGTCAAATCATAAAATCTTTCATCGGAGAAGGAATGGTGCGAGATTCGGAGCTGCCCTTCACTAATCCGACGACGCGCCAATTTGTTACGGGACACGAACTTCCGTCTTCATTTTGCGACACGCATAGGGTGAAGGAACCGTTCACTCCTCTGGGCCGTCATATAAAGGCAGCGCCGCACTGTCCTTGGTGGTCCAGCAAATCGCCCACCGAGCATGCACACGGGTATTCAGTCTCCCCTCTTCTCCCGTCCGCGCCCTCCTATCCGATTCTTCCGTCAACAATGGCGATTGTCTACCCCCGACCTCGTGGTATTGTGGGTTAATAGAGCTCGCCACTTGGCGCAACAACTCCATTCCACCGCTTCCATTACCCATCCCGACCATATTCCCGAGGATGTCACCAAAATCATTCGTGACGGCATAAAACTCCTCATCGATAACATGGTCATTCTGGGCCACGCCAGCATCGTGTATGGTCCTTACGGATCCGAAAAGCGCCCGGAGTATTTCGTTCCCGCCGAGGCCACAACGTTATTCGGCATGGCGGAAGGACTGGTCGACCTGTACGGTTACAGCGGCAACGGTGAAAGCGTAGCGTGGGCGTCCCTTTTCGACAACCTCAAAATCTTGAAGACTTCCATGATAATCAACCCCCAGTATATGGATCGCCCCATTGATTTCCCGCATTTCGTCGTCAACGAAGAGGAGCTGCGCAAGTACGGAATTTACGATTTCGTAAAGCGCAACCAGTTGAGCCACATCTTGGCGAAGCATGCCGAGTTTAATCGTCACAAATTCGGGGACAATCTTCGCCGATACGTTGTCACGGGCTTCCCGGAGGAGGAAGTTTATAAATTCAGTGACCCTGGTGACGATGAAATCCCAACCCGTCCGAACACGCCATTCGTCGATGAATATATGGTTCGCAATTCCCTCGGGGAGATGAATACGCAAGGCGGAGTCGCGATGTATGGGAAGGAGAGGGTGGTCGACGAAAACACAAAGGGGGAAGACGTCGAGGGTGCGGGAGCCAAAATGGAGAGCGTAGAATGACGCCTGGACAGGGAAGAGATAGTGTCTGATATGTGGAACGGGTGTTGCCCTCGCCCGTGTATTTCACGCAGCTAGCTTTGCACGCCCCATGTATTCGCTTCATGATAATCGACCGGGATCGCGTCTTCTTGTATAGATGCTGGACGCGACTCCAAGATCATCACGTGGTTGAGAGTATGACATAAGCTTTATGTGCGGGGGATAATTAATTGTATCCTCCCGCCTGTTGTCCGCGAGGCTGGATGGCACGAACGGAAGCCTGGCGCACAGACTTTGTTTCGGTAGTACCGCTGGGTCCAATTCCTCGTCTGTTTCCATTGTTGGCTGTTATATCCCTCTCATCCCGTCTCAGCTTCCTGGACTCCCCTCATTTGTCAATCGGACGCTTCCACCGATGTCCCGATGGCACAGTGGTTAGTGCCCCGCCGTTCAATGGACCATATTCGATTTTTGGGCAGCGGATATCCTGGGTTCAATTCCCAGTCGGGACCGTCGTTCCTCAAATTCCAACCTTTTTCCCATTCCGCATCCAAGGGCTTCGTTGATTAGCGATTTAGACGGGTCGTAATATTGTCCCGATGGCACAGTGGTTAGTGCCCCGCTGTTCAATAGACTATATTGGATTTTGGGCGGCGGATATCCTGGGTTCAATTCCCAGTCGGGCCATAACATGGAATCGCGGAAATACTTTTCTTTTCCTTGAATATCGTCGTGCCAGACACGCAAGACGGCGAGTTTGTCTTCCTGAATCCTCGTTACATTTTGGCGAGACCCTCCTTTTTCCGTCGTTGCTGCTTTGGGTCATGGCCTGGTGGTGTAGTGGTAATCCCGCCGCTGGATCTTTGGCGAGTCCAATCTATATGTCTCGCGGAACCCTGGGTTCGATTCCCAGCCAGGCCTTCTGAATTCGAGATCTCGTCCTCCTTTTTTGTAGCCGTCCCGGTCACATGTCCACGAGTGCATATCTCCTTCCATTCTCGGGTACCCCCGGCGCCGATGCATATTTCCTGCAAAGTCTTGTCTTCACGCGTATGAATCTTCTTCGTCCACCTATAAGAACTCTGGTCGTTGCTTGGTCCGAGCTCATTTTATCCTGCCATGATTCGCACTGGCAGTCCTGCTGAGCTTGTTTCCTCCATCATTATCAGGCACTCCACCCGTCTCCGTCGCTTGTCACTTCATGAATATGAACTAGACGCATATCCGTGGTCGCCGGCGGAGTCCTGGCCCGATTTCTTTGAACGGAGGTTACGCCCTATGATTTTCTTCCTTCACGCGGGTGTGATGCAGGGGTTCATGTTGACTGATTGTGACGGCGCTTATACCCGTGCCGAATTCAAGGAAATCCAGGTCTGGATCACTGCGGGCAAGGTACATTGGAACCACTGATTTGAATTGGATTTTTTGATGGTTTTATATTTAATGACTTCAATATACTATCAGCTGATATTATTGTGATTGTATCGCTATTTAACAATATTATCACTGATATCATTGTGATACCCGATAAAATCAAGGCAAAATCAGACTAAAATCATTGGTAGTTCAATGAAGGCATTAAATATAAAATCACCAAAAGCTCCAATTCAAATCAGTGGTTCCAATGTACCTTGCCCGCAGTGGATTCAGCTGATCCTTTGTCACTGTGTTCGCCGATATTTCCTTTTTCTCCACCGCTTCCCTCCTGATGTGCTTCATAGCGACTCCTCTTGCTGAACCGTTCCGACTTGGCACACCCCTACGTTGATGATTGGGCTCATCTGCTGCCCAGAACTTGGGAGATTCCCGGTGAAGCGACGGCCATGTTCGAGATTCTGTACAGGATTTGCGACGTTTTTGGGTTCCCCGAGATTGAATACGGGGATTTCCCCATCAATCGACACCTCCTCCTTCCTTTGATCGCTGCTGCACGCAAGACGCGTGACCTCTATAACACCTCGACGGATTACTTCCCGTACAACGATTTTGGCGACCTTATCGACCCTGCCCTGTTTCATCCTGAGACGGAGTATATCCTAGATTATCTCCCTCCACTCCCTCTTCATCTGGGGAACGAGGAAGAAGACGAATAGTAGCAGCGTTGGCCGCATCCCGATTCGCAGTGTGCATGTTTGGTCGGCATGTGATGGTTCTTCCGCTGCTTTGAATATAAATTTTATCGTTTCCGCATAATTTTGGCCGTTTCGTCATATCGAGGTCGGGAGATCAATCTGCCCTTTTCCAGTCCAATTCCGCCCAAAAGTCATACGTTCGAAGCGTATTTCCGCGCGCTTCCTATATTCTGTATCTGCTGGGTCCGCTGTCGATTGGCTAGGGGTTTCGTACATCTGTTTCAATTCGATACTTTGGTTACTGCCGCTGGTCCTATGTGAAACTAAATCTTTGTCGTTTGGTGCGCCTCGGAGGTGCTGCACAGCCACGTGCAGGATATCTTCACTCTTCCACCGATGGTGCTTGGTCGCTCGCTTGTCACGTGATTCGTTCCGTATCAGGGTGACAGGGTCTGATTTTTCGCTAAAATTGCGAGACCCGTCGCGTCATTCGCGTCGATACGCCATCCTTTCTCTACCGCCTCCTCTGAAGCCGCAATCCCCTTTATCCGAGGAGACAGCAGCTGCACAACAGCCTCGTGGCTTCTTTTCGGGTATTTTTGTCTGTTTTGCTGGCTTCTTCTTGGTGGTTTCCTCTTTCGGTATGTTCAATGAATTGGCTTCCTCGAGCCCGTCTCACGGTTCGTTTTCTTTCTCTTTCGTTCCACCACCTTCTCCTCTTGCTGTTCCCTTTTCTTCTCTTTCCTCCTCCCCTTTGTCTCCCCTGGGCTGTCTTTTGCCCGCTTCGTGGTTCTCCAAGATGCCCAGCGAGGTCCGCCGTTCGCGCCACAAAAAGGCGCCTCCACCGCAAAAAGTCTTGCCCAACGTTTCTAGCTCGAATCGGTCCCGCGCTTCCAAGAGCAAAGGAGGCTCCTCCCGGTACATCATCATTACCCTCCTTTCCACATTTATCTAACTTCCTCTTTTAGTACTGTTGCCGCAGGGTTTAGCAGTGAGGAAGAGGAGGCCGTCGAGAGCGAGGACGAGGAGGATGATGACGAGGTCGAGGAAATTTCGGCGCCGATCGCGACCAGGGCCGCCGTTTGTCGTATCAAGGCCATTAACCCAATTCCTCCGGCACCTCGCGTTTCCGCACTGTCCTCCGGCGCCGACATTCCTTTTGACAAATATGACGCCACGCCGCACGAGCTCATCGACCTCGAGCCCCTCCACGACAAGCTTCGTTCGTGGATGAAGAAAATCAACCTTCCCTTCACCCCGCAGCATGTGGGATGCGTCAAGCAAGCTTTCGTGTTGCGCGAACTGAGCGCCAAGGAAATCGCAGGGAAATACGCCCCCCTTCTCGCCGACCGGCCTCGTCTTCCAGGGTGTCACCCTTCCGAATTTTCAAGACCGTCTTTTCCTGAATCTGAGGATGGGCAATATCTCCTGAGCTTTGGTTCCGATGGTTCCTCCCTGCGCGATAGCTACCTCCGCCTCCTTGTCCTTGCCCAGGTGTCCGATTTTCACTATCCCCCCATTCAACGTCCTGGTCCGGCAGAGCTCCCTTCCGACCCGTATCACGCAATGTACACCCCTACGTCTCTCCCTCGCCCAGTTCGGCCCGTCCTCCAGGACGAGGACATTTATCCGAAACTCATAGCCCGAGATGAATGGAACCCGGAGGAGTTAATTGCCGCCAACAGCACGCACCGAGTTATGGAGCAGCAACATAAGGCAGGGGTTATCGCGGAAAATGATCACGCACTGCAGGAGTACGCCGTTGCCAACACGAGCTGGAGGGCGCAGATGGACGTGTCCGACTTCCGCACGAATATTGTAAACCAGTGGCATACCCGCAACACCGCCTATCAGCAATACTGCGCAAAAACTCGGCACATCCATGGGTGTTTCCAGCAGGTCCTTAATTCGATTGGGGAATATCTCGCGTGGACTTCGGCGAAGCGCATCAACCCCCTCGATCGTACTCCTTCGCCCGCTCCCCCTATCTCTGTTCTCCCCGATTCGCCTTCTGTTTCGCCAGAGCGCATTATTCCTGCGAAGTGCTCCTGCACCCGGGCGGCCGATGAAGATTCGGTTGTTGACACCAACGCCGCCGCTTCCGACGAGGACGACGAACCCCTGTCCCGACAGGTAGCAAAGAAGTCGAAAAGAGTCATCTTGTCCCCCGACGTTGACGTGGAGTCCGGTCCACCGGCGAGATCAAAAAGCAAGGCGAAGGGTAAAAGGAAGGCGTCTACTTCTCCCGCCCCCGAGGACCAAGCGATGCCAGCCAGGCCACCGAACGACTACGATGCGGAGGCCTGGCACAAAGGGGATTTGCCTGAGGCCCATCAGTCAGGCCTCATTCGCAGCAAATTTGTCGAGTCTCGAGGTTGGCCGTCTTCGACTATTTTGAGCCCCATCTACGTTAGCGGCCTCGAGCCCTGGGTCGTCCTGTGCGCAATTTTGCCGTTTCTGGGATATTTCGTTCGCGGGAAGGTAGGCCTCCTCCTGTTCCTTTTCGAATCCTTTCCCATCCTGACCACCGTTCCTCTCCTCTAGGGCTGCAAACTCTGCCACAAACATAACTACGAGTGCACCCGCATTCGTCACGGAACTGGCACCCCCTCTGATGCGTGCAATCGCTGCCGCAGCCGCCACCGATCTTGTATTCGGTCCGACACCCTCTTCGACTGGACAGTGACGGGTGAGCGCATATCTCCTTCACTCGTCCGTCCTCCATAGCTTTGATCTGAGCTAACCCCGCTTTCCTTTCTTCCTTCAGACAACGCCCTTCCCTTCCTTAACCAGTCTTGGGGGGACGTCATGAGCAAGACGCTTGTCGATATCTGGTCCAAGATGCTTGGTATCAACTTTAACGAACGTGATTGCGCGCTGCCTCGAACGTCGAAGCGAACCAGGGTACGATGCCTCCCTTCCTACCGCCATTCCGGGATCTTCATCTGCTGTCCCCGTCGCCGCCCCCGCTTCTGGCCCTTCGACCGCCACTGCTCCCTAGATGTTGATATCCATGGTAATAGATTCTTCGGTCTGTTCTGGAGTCGCTGACAGAGTGGTGGCCTAGGTGGATCAAACCGAGGGGTAACCAAGTAAGTGGTGACGAGAGTTGTCACTTAAAAAGATGTGACAAGGAGCAGTTGGCGTAGAGTCGGCGGCTAGTCTGCACAAGGTAGGTTCAGAAAGGTTGTTGGATGGTCGAGCCAACGAGAGGATAAGTGGTGTAAGATGTAGATTGACCGAAGATGTATCTACGTACAACAGAGTCTTATAAAGTAACTAGGTGATCGAATTAAGTCCATAACGAGTGTAATGGCGATCACATCGCGACAAGGAACAAGTTGAAATAGAAGATGAAACAAGGAATAAGGATCGTGGAGATGGGGAGAGAAGGGGGGTGAGAAAATAGGTATATGGGAAAGACGTATTGTTACACCGTCGATGCCCTCGGTGGGTGTCGAACCCACACGACCTCCTTAACCAACCAGCAAGCAGTTACATTGAAAGAAGGCGATCTACCACTGATCTACGAGAGCTGTGCTTAATAGCATGCTACCCGGATTATAGCAGAGGAGGAGGAGGAGTGAATAGATAAAGAAAGATGGCAGTGACACCCGTCTGAACCATCTTCCATGAATGAAAAGTTCTTGATAAGGATGCACTTGAGTCGCCCTCTTGCTCATGAAAACAAGTGAACCGGTGAATAAAATAAAAAATAAAACTACAATGCTTAAACCCTCGGTGGGAATCAAACCCACACTACCTTCATACTATAGACAGTTTGGATGTGAATTCATTCAAAGAGGATGATCTACCATTGATCCACAAGGGCTGCCTCTAGTAGCATGCTATCCAGATTAAGTATGGAAACAGGAAGAGAACAAAATTAAGGTGAATAAAAATAAAGAGGAAAAAAGCAGGCAAGAACTAGGTGGAAGTCGAAGTAAAAGCTGGTTGTACAAATGCAACAAGAACAAATGAGAGGGTGAGACTAAAGACTCATACCTACCCTGCAAAGTAGTGGCCTCAAGCCTGAGTGTAAAAATAAATATAGGTGTATTCAAAAGTTAGAACAATGGGGGGCCTACTACCTAACTGTACAGATTATCCCAGACAACTATCACATCGGAAGAGAGGGTATATATCCAGCTCTCTGAGCCAAGGTTGCAAGAAAAGGAAAACTGAAGACTTGATTGCAAACATAAAAACCGTTCTTTTTCTGAATAAATATGAATCACAAACAAAATTAACAGTCAAGTGTGGAGCCAAGCATAAGAAGTGTATTTAATATTTGACGGGGATTCTTTCATGGCTCTCAGACTGTATCTTTCACCATGGACAGTACATCCAATGATGTGGTAGGTGTGTCCAGTTTGCCCAGAAGTGCAAGGGTTTCCTGGTGTGTGTTCTCAATCAAGGCAAGTCTGGTGTCAATTTGGACCATGTCCTTTGCCTGTGATGACCGTTCAAACAGTGGACGGGCTTCTTTCCACAGTTTCACTGCATGTACTAAATCTCCTCTGTGCTTTGCAATGTCTCCGAGACGAAGCATGCAGTCACCTCGACTGCTGTGAACATCCATTTGTGTAAATCCTTCCAATCCTAGTGTAAAAAGGCTGAATGCTGTGTCTTCGTCATTCAGGTGGAGAAAAACATCTCCTAGACAGCGGAGAGCCTCATGAGTCTGCAGCTTCTTGTGTAGTTTTAATGCATGCACAAGAAATATTACAGTCCACTGTGAGGTCTGAGAAATACTGCTGGGCTCCCAGTGCCTTGAATCACTAAGTCTATACAGGGCACGATCCACAATCTCATAGTCCTTTCCCCAAGACAAATTGAGACATTTTTGGAGCAAAGCCTTGGCATCTACAAAGTTTCTCTGTGCAAGATATAGTTCTGCACGCAATTCATCACAGTATGTCTGCATAAAGGTGTTTCCAACGGCACTGAACATAGCATAGATGCTGTTGATATTCTGTTTCATCTGAGCATCTGGATTGAACAGGACATCAATGCTTGCTATACTGAAGAGTGAAATGGCATAGGTATATTGAGACTGATCAACACGTTGAATGATTTCAGTGTGTGTAGTACGAGCTTCAGTATATTCTGATTTAGCACCATAGATTTCTGCCTCAGTACCCAGGAGGATTAGATCCACAATACTGAAAGATAGACCACAAAGACAAAGAAGTTCTCTTCCTTTGTGGCAAAGGCTCAGAGCATCAGGATATAGGCCAAGGTCCACACAGACTACAGCCTGTACTCGCAGTGCTCTTGCCTCATCTAACAAGTTGCCAGAGATCTTGGCAAGTTTATGAGATTTGCGAGCATATGTGAGAGCAGCAGAATAGTGACAGGCACCCCGCTCAATCCAACTTAATTGAATCAATGCATAACACTGTTCATGTGATTTTCCGCTCATTTGTGATAATGTGATTGCTCTTTCAAAGAAGTTTTTAGCCCTGAGAGGCTCTTTGTCGTGTTCCAAGACATAGAATCCAGCTCCATTGTAGAACTGAGCTATGCACCACTGTCAGTATATTGTTTTCCAAATCAATAATTGAATTTACCTTCAGCTGCAGGATCACTGAAATTGAGAAACTGTTCCTGAGCTTTAACTATCATATTTTCCGAGTTTCCAGTCAAGAATGTCATATCAGAACCCCAGGCATTGAATGACAGTGTGATGAAGTGGGTCCACAATTGGGGATCTTGTACTTTTGCCAAAGCATCAGGGATATGGTCCATCAAACCAGAACGACCATGCCCACTAAACCGCCTAAAGTTATGAAGATATAGTGTGCATTCAATGGTATCTTTCAAGTCTGTGCCATCTGAATGGAAGCCAGAGAGAAGAATATTTTGAATATTCCCTAGATTTGAAGTTACACGAGCTACCACCTTCGCACTTGGTTGTGATCCAATGTAGTCCACATAGAGCTTTAAGATCAGATGAAAATGCCTACGTAGAGGATGAATGAGCTTCAGCAAAGGAGGGTGGAATTGAAACACATGTTCCCGAATCAGACTCAATGACTTCAGATGTCCATCATAATCAATATATCCCAGTGAAGTCCTAAGCAAAGTTGCCTTGCAGGCCAGAATATCTGGTATAGGGAGACCACTTTGGATAAGGTCACTGTCCGAAAGACCATCTGGTAGGATTGAGAGGAGGCTCAATAGATCCATTGCTCCTGGAGAAGATGTCATTCTAGAGCCCAATAATGACACTGTAATTGAGATATCGAGGTTGGATTTTCTGTCAAAACCATCTGAGAGGAGTGAGGTTTTTTCTGTCTCCCATCGGGAAAGTACTGTTGGAGAGCCTTCATAGTCAACCAAATGAGCAATAAGATCTACTGCTAGAGGGACATTATCTGTGAAGAGGAGCAATTTTTTGATGTCACTGGGATCATGAAAACCATCTGCAATATCGGTGAAGATCTTGTGTGCAGCCTCATTAGACAATGGCTTCAGAGGTGGCAGGAATGGGTGAGTCCATTGTACTTTGGCAGGTCTCTCTGCTCCACGCATTGTAATCTATGCATTTATCAGTATGTTGAGTTTGAATTTGTGGAGTAAGGAGTGAGCTCACCAGCAATGACAAATGTTGAACATCAGTGAGACAGGACAGAAATTCTTCAACATCTTTGCGAGAATCAGGAGCCTCCCAACTTGTTTCCAGATTATCCAAAATCAACAGACTAGGTGGACTGTTGGAAAAGTAATCCAATATTGTCTTTGTTGCTTTTTTCCCTGGCTTTAGCCCCAGATGGGATGCAACAAGACTAGCAAGATCCGTGCCAGTGGTGACCGAATCAGTTGGAATAAAGACTGTATTCTGGTATTTGGCTGCAATCTCTGGGTGGTGCAGTGCAGCCCTGGCGAGACTTGTTTTTCCCATTCCACCTGCTCCTAGAATGGCTATCTTAGCAGAACCCAGAGCAAGAGCTTTGACAATCTGTTCAAGTTCTGATTCACGCCCATGGAATATCTTTGGCTTTCCAGGCAACAAAGAAAATGAATTTAAGCTTGAAAAACAATCAGGGCAATCCAGCCTTGCGTGGAAATCATACCTGTTTCGTGAATCAGAAAGACTTCCAGTGATCTTTTAGTAAGGATCAGCTTCGTAATCATGAGAAACACAGAGACTTCATACACTGGACAGCCTGTCGGAATTTGCTCCATCCGAAAGTGTTGAAATTAATTCGAGTAGTGCATTGTGGGTTTCCTCTGAACTTTTCTGCATGTCCTCGATATCAACCAAGAGACTAGCACCAGTTTGGATCTACAACAATGGATAAACGGATGTTTTGACAAAAAATGCAACAAACCTTGAATACATCAATGGCCTGTTGCAAGCCCAAGTTGCAATCCTTCAGCAGGGAGTTTGTTTCACTCTGACGCAAGAATTGCTTGATTTTATTTCCCTCTTGTTGGGATTCGACAAATGCATGAATTTTTTGAAGAGTTCTATCAACAAGCAAAGGCGAGAAAAATCAATGAATTATAGAATCCTCCGGATGAGGCAGACAAACTCTGTAAATTTCCCGATATGCTCCAGTGTGGTGGGTGCGAGCACACCTCCAGTATCCGAGGTAATATGAAGACTGATGATAGCATACAGGACGCCGTGAACATGCTCCAGGAGTTGCACACATTCGGCCTTTTTGTTCTTGACATTCTATTAATATTTCGTTAGATTCAGGTCTCCGAAAGATTTCAGACTTCTCACCTCTACCCCATTCAGAAGTGATAGAGTGGTGTTTGCGATAGCGGTTAAGAACGGAGTCCCAATTGCACTTTCGAGGCCAACAAGAGTAGAGACAGCAAGCCTGAGGTACGCGATGAGGTTGTTCAAGCGATTTTGGGTGACACTGGTTTGTGGGGCCATTTTGGTTAAATGTTGCTGGCTGGGATTCAGCCTCAGGCGCTTTATACAGCTCCGACAGGACTGGTATCAATTAGGGCGGTTCGCGTAACATGATAGGGGACGTCCCGAAGTTAAAGCGTAAATTCATGTCCAACGATTCCATCCGGAGTTATCTTTGAGATAGCACACGATGCTACTACTCGGTAACAGCGTGTGGTCCGAAGAACCACACTATCAAGTAAATTCTCAGCTCCTGTCACTCAGAGATGCATGAAGTTGTGGAAGCGGAACCCGTCGAATCCGTCGAATCCAAGGGCCTTTGAGTTGTCTCGTTCCACCATTCGTTCACAATCAAGATAGCCCCTGAGAGACAAATATAGCTGACATTGATTCTGCCAGGGTACGGACAACTTGAACGATGAGCGCAGGGTGGCTCCACGGCCGCAACGTTGAACTAAGTATGGTTAGAATGTATCGGGAATACATTTCGATCAGAAAGAAAGATCGGGTGCGGGCAGAGTACGCCTTACGATGTTCCGATGCTGAAAGGCCGCGCGATAAGATGAGTAGGAATGGCCACTGACGGACATCAGCCTAAACGTTTACAGACAAAGAAAGTGATCGCCCTCAGCGGTTTCGGCGCAAATCAATCCATAATTG